GGGGAAGAGGGGAGGGGAATGACGACCAAGTCTCTATCAACAATTTACACATGAAAACAACTAAATCATCTTCATTTTTCACCCACAAAAACACCTGTAAGAGCCAGGTAACACTGACCATATTTAACACCAGATCAAGATCACTAACTCTGGACAGGACAAGCCACTAGCCAAGAGCCCAGCTAAGAACCTGGCTATGATTATCACATATGCCTCAGGTTTACCCTCCCCACACACTGACCCAGCTTACAACAACATTTGCTTGTGGCCCTACTTCACAGAACACCAAGCAGCAAGAACAAAGCAGAAAGAGTGCAACCAAACACACAAGGAACAGGACTGAGCTGAAGGATGGGGGAAGGCAGAGAGAAGAGTAGCCTTGGGCTCAGTGCTTATGCCTCTGCAGGACCCTGCCCAGTCAGCTAGTAAGGTTTGAACTCATGCACTCTTCTATCAAAACCACTTCTGCTAGCCCAGCAGCTGCTTTCAGGAGTATGGGCCCCTTCTCCTTGATCTGATGGTAGGCAGCTTCATAAGTGCATTTAACTTAGGAGATTTCAACCATAGACCTCTGCAAAATAAATAAAGAGGAGAGAATATCTTTCCTGTCAGTAAATCAGAACAGGGTGAGATTCTAGTGCCAAGAGATTTGGATTTTCCATACAGCTGGCTCCTAAACTTAAGTCTTAGTTCAGGTAGTGCTCAATAAACCTTGCTTGATCTTTATTTTTTTCCCTGTTCCTTTTATTATTCTTTCAATCTTTTGCATGTATATAACTTTAGAGACACAGTTATATTTCCTATGTATACCTGTTCTTATATAGTGTACATTACTATATCTCACATGATTTGTGCAAACATATAAAGAGTGTATATGCAAAATTACATGGATCTTGCACTATAGTATTTTTTGGAGTTTTCAAAGCTACTGTGGTTATACATGGCTCTGCCTTATGTACTGATTTTAGAACCTGACCTCTACACAAGACATAGCTCCACCTTGTGTATTATCCTCCAAGTTCTTCCAGCATCTGCACCAAGCCAGGAACTTTGTGGCCTTGTCCAACATTGAGCAAAAGCCAAATTAACAATGGCCAGCTGCCTACTTATACTACTTCCACTAGGATCCTCCCTAGCCCTGGGGGTCAAGTTAAGACATGGGGCACCCAGGCATCAAAAGAAGAAGGCTCTAAGGTCTGCTCCTGACTCCTAATTTTCTTTTCTTTCAGTCATAGTTTTTAAATTAAAGTGGCTAGAAACAGGCATGACAAGGCCAGTTCTTTTCCCAGTGCCCTGTGGACCCCCAGTCCAGAAGAGTGACAAGTTAGGAGATAATCCACTCTACACTCCTAAGGAAGGATCTCTTTGGGTTCCTTCTGCAGTTTTCAGGCTCTGCCAAGGAGAAGGCTTTGGGGCTTCAAGTGTCAAAGTATCCCAGACTTAAGTCTAGATGAGCCTAAGGATCTAAATTTCTAAAGAACACACAAACGACAGTTGGAATTGTCTCTTCATTCTTGGCCCCTAGCGTGGATAAGCGTTCCCATTTTTCAGATAAGGAAACTGAAATATCTTGTGAAAGTACATCAAAATCAGAGTTATCTAGACTTCCTATCTCTTGAATCAAAATTTCCAGATAGTTCTGATTACCTCTCCATTATTTATCACCAGAGTGTTTCTTTTCCTTCACTCATTTCACAAATTTACACCCACCTTTCCCCTCCAAAAGCTAAATCCCTTCAACCTCCAACTTTTCTTTTTTTCTCTCCAATTCTGATTTCGCGGAGGTCTAAACGCCGCCTAGAATCTCCAAGGACCCTGCTTCCAGAGTAGGTGGAGCATCTCCTCTTCCTAAAAAACGTTCTTTTCTGTGGCTCAGAGCCCCCTCCTCACAGGCCTCTCATCCCCCACCCCCATTCTTTGCTCGCCCACCCTGCCTTTTGTGATCAGTTTCCACAATTTCCTCGCCCTCCCTTCCCCATCATGCAGGGTCCCCTCCTGCACGTAACCTACCCCTAAAGTTCCAGTTCGGTCCTCCAACTTTCCCGGGTGCAGTCCCCGACCTCTCAGCAGCTCAGGCCGGAGCCTAGTCCTTTCGGCAGTGCCCCCACCCCATCACTACAGCCCCACGACCTAGCTCGGGTGTGCTTACCCGACCAGAGCACGAGCTTGCCGTGCGCTTCCTCCTGAGAGTCCGAGTCCCCGGCCAGCAGCGTGGAGGTGGCCCCGTAAGGCAGAGCCGAGCCCAGGCACACGTTGTAGCGCAGCGGCTCGCAGTGGGCGGCCCGGCCGCAGTGGCTAAGCAGCGGCGGAGGGCCAGTCACGGCCGCGCTCCTTCTCGCGCTCCCGCCAGCGCTACCCGGCCCAGGCCCGGTCTCATTCCCGCTCAAGGCCGCCCCCCGGTCCGGGCCCCCCAGCAGCAGCAGCAGCAGCAGCAGCAGCCCCAGGAGAGGCAGCTCCGGCCCCCACGCAGGGCGGGCAGCGGCCATGGCCAGACCCGCCAACTCAGCAGAAGCCCCGGCGCCCCCGCCCGCTCCCCAGAGCCCCCCGGCCACACTCACAACCCTGGGGGCCGCGGAGGCGGCTCAAACGACCTGTGCGCCCCTTGAGTTCGGGGCCGGCTTCTCCCAGACGCTCAGCGCGCCCCGGCCCCTTGGCGCCCAACTTCGCAAACTTTGGAACCCGGGGCCCATGTTGGGCGGCAGAGGCCCGGGCAGGGATGCGCAACTCCCCACTCCCTCGGCTGGCGATCCAAGCTGTCTTCAGCCTCGGGAGCCCTCGGGGCCCCCAATCCCCAGCCCCATTCCCTCTCCCACCACTAAAACCAACTCCCGGCCCCACGATGAAGGCCAGGCGCCCGCCAAGGGTGCGGGACTACGTCCCTAACTCTATCCGCGGCTCCGCCCCCGCGCCAGCCCGCTGCCCAGCCGCCACCTCCGCCGGAGCGCGCCGCAGCCCCCAGAGTTCTCCCCGCCGACTACCCGGCTCCTTTGTTGCTCTAGCTGGCCCCGCTCTCTGGAATGCACGGGCCTCGCGGAGCCAAGCCCGGCCCCCCTCTGCTGGAGCTGGGGGAGGGACTGGACGAGGCAGAGAAAGGAGGGGAGGAGAGACCAGAGAGGAGGAGCGCGAGCTTCGGCGTCCCGGGGGCCGCGGCTGGGGAAGCTGGGACCCCCTACCCCGCCGCCCCGAGCCAGAGCTGGGCGCAAGTCGTGGCCCAGAGCTGCAGTAAGAGGCCTAACGGACACCTTGATTGGTCTGAGGATCGTTCGACTTGATCATTGGCAGAAGAGGACTTTTCTTCTGGTTTAGGGTGGGATATGCTGAGATGCCTGAAGTCAGCGAGAGCTTCCTTTCCAACCTGCTCAATACCTCAGCCCCGCCAGTCTTTCAGGCTTTCGATTAGAGCTTAGTTTATCCTGTCCCATGGAGAGGAACCTGGGGTTGGGCTTCCCGCTTCTCCAAATCCATCTTGGGACCCGTGTGCCAGGTCACCTCAGAGTCACTCACACCAAAGGCCCCGGATACCTTTACCGGTGTGGGCAGGTGTCTGGAACCCAAAAGTGCCTTGTGATGTTTAAACTGTGATTTCCACCCTGACGTTTCCTTGGTTATGTCTAAAGGATCATCCACCTTTGATGGCTCTTGCTGTTCATCTGATAGAGGCAGGTTCTGCAGCTAGCTACCTTTCCCACTCTGCTCTTTTTGCTTTCCACGCTCCTTCATGCACCTTGTTTTCAACCACCGATTTCTCCCTGCGCAGTTTACACCCACAACCAAGGGTCCAGCCTGGGGAACCGGCTTGCCTTGAGCAACTTTTTCCGTGTTACTGATCGGGCAGCTTACTAGGGAGGTTTTTTCTTACCTCTGGAAGCCTAGCTCGTAGCCTAGTCGAAGTGGACTATTTCTGTTACCTTTGATCATTTAAGACCAAAGTAACTATTACACTTAAGCTAACATCTTTAATTGGTACCCGCATCCCCGAGGGAGGAGCAATTTAATTCAATTTAGAAAGTCTTTCTGAAATCCTAGTATGTGTGTAGCATGGTTACATCCTTGAAGAACTTGAGAATTTGCATTTTATTACCTTCAAGAAACACACAGAATCATGGACAAGGAGGAAAAACCTTCTCCTCCAGGGCAGAGACCTTCTTTTACTCTCTTTGTATCCACAAAACATCTAGCTCAATTCAGTATACCTATTAATCACTCAATTAGCTACCAAAATGGGAGTATGTTATAGGAACTTAGAGCAGATAGATGAGTGGGTAGAAATGAAGGAGATAGGGTTTGAATCCAGGATTGAAGTATAACTAAGAGGAGGAGATCTGGACCTTATGGGTGGGGGAAACTCTGACCACAGATCAGACCATAGCTGGCCTGGCATCAGGACATAGCTGGCCTGGCCATCAGGACATAGTAGTGGATAAGATAAGTAGGAGAAGTTATCGGTAAGAAGCCTCACATGATACAAAGAGATATTAAAGCCTAATTCTATTGGCAACAAAGAAGCAGTGAAAATTTTTTGATCAAGGGAGTGAAATTAATCATGGATAACTCATAAGGTGATGTGAGGATGGTATGAAGGACAAGATACTGAAGGCAAGAGACATTTTGAGGGAAATCACTAGTGATTTATGATAGACGTGGAAATAAACTGTGTCATTAGGGCGTAATATTCCTACTGGAAAAATAATTTAAAACATTATGACCTACTTCAGTTACTTTTTTCTGTAATAGAAACAAAATGGCTGTCATAATATGTCCACGTCTGCACCAGCTGTCTTGCAACCTGAAATCACACTAATGCTTTACTTTGTGAACGTTCTCTGCTTATTTTCTTTCTAGTTGTTACTGTGGCAGCTTTGAGGCCCTGTGCTATTTTCTTATGGAGTATTCAGTATTCCATTTATTCCAGAGGAACATACACATGTACTCAGGCAGCCCCTTATCTCTGCCTAAAAACATCAGCAGGTACTTTTTCAAGTAGGAAGCCTCTACCATTCCTTGCCTGGGATTTCTTGGGAGGTATGAGGAAAATTCACATAGTTGTGAATTAAATACTCCAAAATATTGAAAATTCACATAGTTGCTTCTTTACATTGGAGATAGAAGAGAGGAATTGAGAAGATCCTAAGATGTTTCTTCCAGCCAAAGTGCTCTTCCCTTCAGGGGGAGGGAAAAGATATTCTAATCTCTCAGTTATACCTGCACACACACAAATGTGTGTGTGTGTGTGTACACGTGCACATGGACATGTGGTCCTATTCACTGAGCTTTAGAGTTCCTCTTTGGGAATTCTGCTGGTGCAGCACGGGGCAGCAGGAAGGCAGACTGATAAATGCTTAAAGCACTGTCCACACCTGCTGGGCCACATTCCCATTAGTAGCAGATGCACCTGTGTCAGGAATCCTGTCAGAAAGTAGTTTGGGAGAAGGAGAATGTTCAGTGAGGACTGTAGAAAGGAGAATTTCCAGGTGGTCCCTGAGTAGCATTCAGGATCCTTGGCAAAGCTTGCTCACAACCTCATTCAGATACACCAAGACTGCCAATGTCTGTTAGAGACTTCCCAGTGTGACCTGGCACATTCCTGGTCTACAACCTGGTGGTAGCTTGCAAAGTGTTTCTCTCCTGAGCCAGAGCCACCACCACCCCCGCACAGTGCCTCAGGAGTTTTAACCTTATCTGCATGTCATAACACAGTCCTTTGTCAGTACCATGAGAAGCTGTCCTATGTTGACAAAGCAGTACAGTACTTGATTTGCTACAAGTAGTTTCTTGATTTCTGAGTCATTCTCATCAAATATCTTGGCATTTTGAGGTCACACATTCATTATTGACTCTTTGTTATTTGCCTGTGGGTTCTCCCTTCAAAGAGTATTGACATGAAAATATCTATGGGATATCCATGGGTATCCTCGAGGCCTTGGTGTCTTCTTATGTTTCAGTTGTCACACTCACCAGAACCTGGAGCAGAATTATTGCAGGGCTCCAGTTCTTTCCTTTTCCAGTGTCTCATGTTTTACAACTAAGAACACTAAGTCAAAAGGAAAGGGGAAAATGGGAAAGGGACTAGATTAATAGCCCCAGAGGGGTCACATGGTAGATTTGGAGCTACAGCCCTGAGTCAGTGCTTAACAGTCAAGCACCGCTCAGTAACTCATTCTGAGCCTCTTTTTCTTCCTTTCCCAAAAATGGGAAATTACCATCTGTATTCCTAGGCACCTACAAATTAAGACACTTAGTTCATTTGCAACTGTAAAGAATGAAATACTTCAAAATAAATCTACTATGGAAAGCAGAAGACTTGTACCCTGAAAACTACAAAATGTTACTGAAATAAATTAAAGGAGACCTTAATCAATGAAAAGACATAAAAGATAGGAAGACTTAACATTGTTAAGATGTTAGTGCTACACAAATTGAACCACAGATTCCATATCATCCCTATAAAAATTCCAAAAGCTTCTTTTATAGAAATGAAAAAAGTTAATTCTCGAATTAATGCAGAATTACAAGGGGCCCCCAATAGCCAAAACAATCTTGAAAAGGAGAATAAAATTGGAGGACTACAATTCAAAATGTACTATAAAGCTAGAGTAATTAAAATACTATGGTACCAGCTGGGCACAGTGGCACACACCTGTAATTCCTGTGCTTCAGGAGGCTAAAGCAAGAGGATCTCAAGTTCAAGGACAGCCTGGGCAAGTTAGTGAGACACTGTCTCAAAATAAAAAGAGCTGGGGGTATAGCTCAGTTGTAGAAGACTTCTGGCTTCAATCCACAGTACCACCAAGAGGAAAAAAGAAAAGCAAACAAAATCACCTGGTACCATCATGAGGAAAATATACAGGACAACAGAACGGAACAGAAAGTCTAGAAATGAACCCCCACATATATGGCCAATAGGTTTTCAATAAAGGTGCCCAATACAACTTAATGGAACACCTTCTTTCAACAAATAGTTCCGGGAAAACCGAATGTCCACATGCAAAAGAACGAAGTTGGAACCTTGTTTTACATGAAGTTCTGATTTGAACGTGGCTTTTCCCTGCCAATTCATGTTGAGGCTTAATTCCTCAGTGTAACAGTATAGAGATGGTGGGATCCTTAGAGGCATTTGGGATCATAAGCGGGAATCCTTGTGAATAGATTAATGTTTTTCTTAAGAGATTGGGTTAGTTTTCTGAGACTGGATTTGGTCTCACGGGACTGGACTGAACAGGTTGCTAAACGTTGGGTTTGGAGGCTGGAGTTGTAGCTCAGAGGTAGAGTGCTTGCCTAACATGTGTGAGGCACCACATAAAAATAAATAAACAAAATAAAGGTATTATGTCCATCTACAACTAAAATAAATTTTTTTAAGTTTTTTTCAGTACTAGGGATTAAATGTAGTGCCTCATGCATACTAAAGCAAGCACTGTACATTCCCAACCCTTTAAAAACTTTTTTTGTTTTGTTTTGTTTTTAAATTTGGAGACAGAGTCTTGCTAAATAGCCCAAGCTAGTCTTGAACTTGCAATCCTTCTGCCCCTGCCTCCTGAATAGGTATGCACCACTGTGCCCCACTTGAGCAGGTTGTTATACAGCCAGTTCAGTTTAGTTTCTTCATCGAGCTCATTTGATTCCTCTAATCATGTGACCCCTCCACCTCCATCTAGTACATTCTTCAACCATTTGATGCCAGTGTGAAGCACCTGCCCAATTTTGGACAGAATTGTGAGCCAAAATAAGCCTCTCATCTAGGCGTGGTGGTGCACACCTGTAATTCCAGCAGCTTGGGATGCTGAGGTAGGAGGATGGCAAGTTCAAAGCCAGCCTCACAAAACTGAGGCACTAAGCATCTCAGTGAGACCCTGTTTCTAAATAAAATACAAAATAGGGCTGGGGATGTGGCTCAGTGGCTGAATGCCCTGAGTTCAATCCCTGGTACCCCCCCCAAAAAAAAAAATATATATATAAGCCTCTTTTCTTTAAAACTTACCCAGCCTGGAGTATTTTCATAGCAACTCAAAACAAACGAAC